GCGAAGGCGAGACGACCAAGCGAGCGAGCGGGCGAAGGGGAAGGGGAGGAGAAGCGGCGACGGGAGGAAGGGCGGGGCGGACGCGCAGGGGCGAAGGTCCGATGGAGGAGAGGGGGAAGGAGGGCAGAGGGGAGAGAGGAGAGGAGGACGAGAGGAGGGAGGACGGGAGAGGAAGGAAGGAGGGGGAGGAAAAGGAGAACGAACGTTTTTTTGTTTTTTGTTTGAGGCGCGCGCGCGGCCGGCCGGGGCTGCCTTGGGACTCTCTTGGGACGTCTTGGAAGCCTCTTGGGCCGTCTGGGAGCCATCTTGGGCGTCTTGGAACGATCGTGGGCATCTTGGTGTGGTCTTAGGCGTCTCGAGGCACGCTTCGACCGTCATGGGCGCGTCTTGGGGCAATGTTTGGAGCCTCTTGGGCTGTTTGGGGCACCTATTGGGTCGTCGTTGGGGCCTTTTGGGCCTTCTTGGGGCTCTCTTGGGAGCCTCTTGGACCAGCTTGGGACGGTCTTGGGGGCCTCTTGGGTCGCCTTGGAGCGTCGGGACGACGAAAAGTTGAGGAAGCCAAAAACACTGAGAAGCCTGAAGTTAAGCACTGGTTTTGGCTGTTTGGGTCCCTCTTGGGAATGCTCTTGGGGCTGTCTTAGGACGTCGTGGAGGGAACGGCGATCTGGGAGCCATCTTGGGCGTCTTGGAGCGGTCTTAGGCGCGTCGAGGCACGCTTGGACCGTCTTCGACGCCTCTTGGGCCGTGTTTGTAAGCTCTTGGGCGGTCTTAGGCGCCTATTAGGTTGTTTGTAAACCCTATTGGGCAGTCTTGGGGCGCTCTCGGGGGCCTCTTGGGCGATCTTGGGACGGTCTTGGGGACTTCGTGGGCTGTCTTGGAGGGTCGGGACGACGAACAAACAAGAAAACCAAACACCTGCAAAAAACCAACGGAATTCAATGATTTCGGCCTCTTGCAGCCCTCTTGGGGATGCTCTTGGGGCTCTCTTGGAACGTCTTGGAAGCCTTTTTGGGCCGTCTGGGAGCCATCTTGGGCGTCTTGGATCGATCGTGGGCATCTTGGTGTGGTCTTAGGCGTCTCGAGGCACGCTTCGACCGTCATGGGCGCGTCTTGGGCTGTTTTGGGCACCTATTGGGCCGTCGTTGGGGCCTCTTGGGCCGTCTTGGGGCTCTCTTGGGAGCCTCTTGGACCAGCTTGGGACGGTCTTGGGGGCCTCTTGGGCCGTCTTGGAGCGTCGGGACGACGAAGAATTGAGGAAGCCAAAAATCCTTAAAAGCCTGACGGCAAGCAGTGACTTTGGCTGTTTGGGTGTCTCTTGGGAGTGCTCTTGGGGCTGTCTTCGGACGTTTTGGACGCAACTTGGGCCATCCGGGAGCCATCTTGGGCGTGTTGGAGCGGTCTTAGGCGCGTCGAGGCACGGCTTGACCGTCTTCGACGCCTCTTGCGCCGTGTTTGCAAGCTCTTGGGCGGTCTTAGGCGCCTACTAGGTTGTTGTTAAGCCCTCTTGGGCCGTCTTGGGGCGCTCTCGGGGGCCTAGTGGGCGATCTTGGGGCGGTCTTGGGGACTTCGTGGGCTGTCTTGGAGGGTCGGGACGACGAAACAACAAGAAAACCAAACACCTGCAAAAAAACAGCGGAATTCAATGATTTCGGCCTCTTGTAGCCCTCTTGGGGATGCTCTTGGAGTTCTCTTGGGACGTCTTGGAAGCCTTTTTGGGCCATCTGGGAACATTTTGGGCGTCTTGGGGCAGGCGCGTCGAGGCACGCTTTGACCGTCTACGACGCCTCTTGCGCCGTGTTTGCAAGCTCTTGGGCGGTCTTAGGCGCCAGCTCGGTTGTTTTTAGGCCCTCTTGGGCCGTCTTGGGGCGCTGTTGGGGGCTTCTTGGGCGATCGTGGGACGTTCTTGGGGACTTCGTGGGCTGTCTTGGAGGGTCAGGACGACGAAAAAAAGAAGAAACCAAAACACCTGCAAACAACCAGCGTAATTCAATGATTTCGGCCTCTTGCAGCCCTCTTGGGAATGCTCTTGGAGTTCTCTTGGGACGTCTTGGAAGCCTTTTTGGGCCATCTGGGAGCCATCTTGGGCGTCTTGGAGCGGTATTAGGTGCGTCGTGGCACGATTTGACCGTCTTCGACGCCTCTTGGGCAGGAGAATGGCGCTCCCGGAGGCCCGATCCCGCCATGGGGGGTTGCGGTCCTGGCCAGGGAGCCCCCGGCCCTGTAGCCCGGTGTGTGTATATATATGTATATATATATACATACATATATATATATATATACATATATATTGATATATATATATATATATATATATATATTTCAATATATCAATATGTATATATATATATCAATATATCAATATATCACTATATCAATATACCAATATATATAAACATATATATATATATATAAACGTATATGTATATGTATATGTGTTGACATATATATATATATATATATATCAATATATCAATATATCAATATATCAATATATCAATACATATATATCAATATGTATAGATAATCAATCATAAGTTCTGGGTGCCCCAAGGGGGAACCGCCAGGGGCGGGGATACGTACTCCACGCTTCGCGTCTACAGTGTGAGATGTCCCCAGCCTGTTTCAAGCGGGTTGCTTGTCTCTGGCCACGCAATTTGTTTTCAAAACGTGTGTATTCCCCACACAATCATTCACCCACCTCCGTTCTGGTCTCCCCACTCGAACGCACCCATTTGCGCCCAGACTTCCTCATTAGTACTTTTTTCCCCGCCCGAACCCACCCATCACATTCATTCCCCCTCAGAATCTGATTCGGTCATCGCCAGATTCAAATTGTATTTACGCGCTCAAACGTAGAACAAATCCAAATCAGACTCACCCACACCCAGACCAACTCACACTCAGACCCACTCGAATTCAGACTCAGCGTCCCCCAGACCACGCATACCAGACTACGTCGCACCAAGGCTCACCCATGCACCGATCTTTATTCATCACGCTCAGACTCGGCCTCGCCCGCGTTCTGATCCACCCGCACTCAGACCCACTCGCACTTAGATTCGCTCGGATCCAAGCACACTCTTATTCCGACCTATTTGTGCGCGCGCTGACTATATCCTCGCGTAATCCCAAGCTCGAACATACCCCGGGCCTTTCACATTCCGGCCCGCTTACACAGATCACCCACGCTCAGATTCACTCGCACGGATAACCACTCACACGCAAATGGATACCGCGATAAAGCCGGCGTGGCACTTGGGGCATCCACAGTGCCAGCAGGCGCCACGAATAGCAGGCCAGAGAGCGGGCGTAGCAGCGCCATGCGCGTTTGCCTGAATTGCCGCGGGCAGAACGACAAGAAGAACCTCCCCTCGCACTTCCACTTGTCACTGGAGACATCGCGGCAGTCGTCATCATTGCCGCGCCTGTCGTCTACGCGGACTCGCTCTCACACCCAGATGCGCACAGACAGAGTTTCTCAACGAAACATGGCAAGAGTATGATATGCACATATAGGGGATCTCCGCGACGAGACATTTCACAACGCGGGGGGGGTGTCGCCCCAGCGCTCGCAGCCTGTTCGGCTACCGTCCGCTCGGTAGTACTCAGTGTCCGACCCTGCGTGGGGAGCGATGGTGGGTCCCCGAGGGCACAGGGAGCCCTGCGCCCGAAAAGCCCCAGGGAATGCTACTCACAGCGTATGCGGATCGTCCGCCGACGCCGAATCCGACGGACACTCCCCTTCTTAACCCGAGTGAGCACGCCCTGACATGGGCTTGGGATCCGTGGGCCGAGGACCCCACACCAATGAACATGAGGCCACTGCCATCTGACTCGGCAACAGAACGCGCCGAATGTGTACGGACACAAAGACCCGTCGCCGTGTTTTCGACTACTCGACTCCACCGTCCCCGCGCGCGCCCACCCCATCCCTCGCTCGCCCCCTCCCCCTTCGCTCGTCCCTCTTCCGGCCTGCCCACCCGAACCTTCTCGGCCACAGCGTGGCGTCGGCCAGAGGGGGGGGACATGGCATCAGGCTGGCAGGAGGGGAGGTCCGACGTTCCCTCTCGCCTCCTCCAGTTCAGCCGGGCGGCATGGAAATCCCCGTAGAAAACGGCCTCCCCTTGGGAGAAGGAAGGGGGCAGGGAGGGAGGGATGAAGGAGAGGAGGGGGGAGGGAGTGAGGGACGGAGGAGAGGAGGAGCGATCTCCACACGCCCCCTCTGGGACTGCACTGGAGCCATTCTCTCGCTCTGCAGCGAACGCTGGTCTGACGCCATCGCTCAGGACAAACAGTCGGAGGTCCCTGCGGATTTCGTTGATTGGCGCTGGCCCCCAATCCCTGGCCCGCGCCAGGGGCGGCACCAGAGGCGCTACCAGGGGGCCGAGAAATCCGCACGGACCTCCGAACATTGATGCTTATGTTTGTGCGACTCTGTTCTTACGTACTCGATCTCTGCGCTGTGGCGACCGACCGTCCACCGTGCCCGCCCCGCCCCTCGAGGTCAGGGGGGGAAACATCGACCTGGAATCGGCGATGCATCGCCGATACATTTGTGTATATATAAATATATGTACGAAGTGCAATACATGGAGAATCCGCATTGTCCTGGGCGGGGCGGACTATCGGGCCTCTTATCGGCGATTGGGGGTGCGCTCCCGTTGCCCCCTGGTTTTCAGGTCATACCTCGGCTCTCTGACAGCACTTCAGGATGGATCCAGGCATCCCTTGGCCACCCTCGGCGAAGCGCAGCCGCAGGAAAGCACCCCGAGGCTGGAAAATTGACAGGAGACGAAGACGCCCGAAAATTTGGAACCTCGAAACCGAAAGTGTCGAGGTCCTCACCCTTCGATGTCCCCGTGCACAGTAAACCCCGTCCCTCCAGGCGACGCTGGGCGACGCTCTTCGCCCTCTGCGCCTGGGCGCCCGTCATCGGCGACTAGATGGGCAGTTGGGGATGCGCTCCCCCCCCGAGCCCTTTCCCCTCTCATGCTGCCATCCTTAATCGTTGCCCCGTGCCCGCCCCGCCCCTCGAGGCAATGCTGCGCGACGCTCTTCGCCCTCGGCGCCCGGGCGCCAGGCGCGGCGCCTGCAGCAGCGCGGTCGCCAAGACCGCGGAGCGAGGCCACCTGGCAGGGCACAGCGGCGGCCGCAGGTCTCGGGCTCGCGGGAGCGAGGGGGAACGATGACCTTCCTTCCATCCATCCCTCCTGCACACCCTTCTCCTCCTCCTCCTCCTCCTCCTCCTCCTCCTACTTATTCGTTTCCTCCTCCCTCTCCTCCTCCTCCTCCTCCTCCTCCTTCTCCTCTTCCTCTTCCTCCTCCTCCTCCTCCTCATGTTCCTCCTCCTCCTCCTCCTCATCGCATCATCATCATCATCATCATCATCATCATCATCATCATCATCATCATCCTCATCCTCATCCTCATCATCATCATCATCATCATCATCATCATCATCATCATCATCATCATCATCATCATCATCATCATCATGAGCATGAGCATGAGCATCATGAGCATCAGCAGCATCATCCTTCATCTCCTCCTCCTCCTCCTCCTCCTCTCCTCCTCTATCTCCTCCTCTATCTCCTCCTCTATCTCCTCCTCCTCCTCCTCCTCCTCCTCCTCCTCCTCCTCCTCCTCCTCCCCTTCCCCTCTCCCCCTCCCCCTCCCTCTCCCCATCCAGCTCCTCTTGCTTCTCCTCCTCATCATCCTCCTCTTCTGCTCCCCTTCCCCTCCAGCTCCTCCTTCTCGCTTCTCCCCTCATCCCCTGCAACTCCTCCTCCCCTTCCCTCCCTCCAACCGTACCTCCTAGCCGGCTTTCCTGAGAGGGGAAGATAAATGGGAACTCGCTCTTGGGGGGGGGACATCGAGCTGGAATCGGCGACGCATCGCCAACAGATCGGCGACAGGCCTCCGATAGCGAAACCGCGCGCTCCTGGGCGGGGTGGACAACTTGGCCTCGATCGGCGATGAATAGGCGATTGAGGGCCGATACGTCCCCCTATCTTCCCTCGAACGTTGCCCCTGAAGCAGGGGGGGGGGACAGGAACACGGGGAACTTCTGCGCACGCGGGCCCGACGCGCGTGCGAGGGCCAGGGGGGGCCACGGGAGGCGTTGACAGGAGAAGAGGGGGCCACGAGACCTCTGAGATGTCACGTGTCCTGTCCCCCTGAGCCCATCCTCCCCCGCCGCTGCCCCCTACAGAAGGGCGCAACGATGTGTCAACGGCGCAGCAGCCAGCCGAGCCGAGCTTTGTGTCGCCGCGCGTGAGGCCGTCCTCGCAGAAAGGCGCCGCCCGCGATGACAGCAGAAAAAGAGAGAGAGAGAGAGAGAGAGAGAGAGAGAGAGAGAGAGAGACAGAAGGAGAGAGAGAGAGAGAGAGAGAGACCGTACCAGCCTCGAGCTTATCGCTATACCTGATACTGGCAAGACCCAAGGCGATGGAAATCTCAGGGATGCGTCCTCAGAAATTCGGGAACCCCTTAAGATCGGCATCGAAATGAGGCGCTGCCAACCATAGGGATAGGCGTATTATATGTTTCAGGCTGGCAACGTCTGAAGTGACTATGGTAAGCCAGATAGCATCCGATTCCATGGGCAGCGGATGGCAGATAGCGTCCAATGCCATGCTGGGGTAGTTCAGTATGGGGAGTGGACGGATAGGATAGGATAAGATCGATGTAATGGTCTTTCCAGCACATAGCGAACACCAGCAGCGTCCGGGCAAATAGGGCGCGCGTGCCGTGAGCCAAAGGCAACGGCACGCGAGCTATATTCCCGATCCTATATTACATCTCCCAAAGAGCTACCCTTAAAGTCGGGAGGGGAGGAGGCGGTGAGTATAGCCGCGCAGCCGTTAGGCTCCACAAAGGCCGCGCGCACGACTGTTATCAAGAATAACAATACGTACAGTCTGGCCTAACACCAGACTGTAAGGCGAGTTTCCTCGCAAAGCATTTTCACGCACACGCAAGATAGCCCCTTGGACATCAAAGGGCTATCGGCCCGGCGAGAGGTGAGCCAAACAGGCTGTACCTCCCCGAGCAAAAAGGTATTACAGCAAAGAGCCTGAATCGAGCTGAACAGGCTCGCTGCCAAGCGTGAAAAGTAAGGCTCGTTTCCGAGCAACTAGGAGGGCGCCTCTGTATTAGGCGCCCGCGCTGGCAGACTGGACCGCGGGGGCAACAAGGACAGACTAAAACTGATTTGGCTTGGGCTTATTTCTGTTCTCAGGACCCCGAAAGGGAACAAACTGCTTCACGTCATACTTAAATGACTGAGTGCCTGACATCACTTCCAAAAACAGCTCCCGATCGACACTCCCCTTTGTATGCCCATCTGCGGTCATGTCTCTAGTATCACGCAATTGTACTCTGTGCACTATACCTATATCCATGAGCCCACGTATCCAGCTGAAATGTCCCAGCAGAGTCCGTTCCGTCGGTATCTTAAGATCTTTGCTGGATAGCGATTTGTATACAGACTCAGCGTCTAGAGTAAGGGGTACTTTAATGGCTAGGCTTCCAACTTCACGCATATCACGTAGTTGTCGTGGAGTAAGTGCCCCTGCCTTGAGCTCGTGGAGAGTGATGAGCGTGGGGGTAGCATTCATCAAGGTTGTGTGCAGCTGCAAGTGCCTCAGCGGCATATCTGGACCTCACCTGCAATCGGTGTGATTCGCATAGTCCGTCGCAAAGGTGGATGACGGATTTGCCTTGAGGCGAGTTTCCTCGCCGAAATACGTTAGCCCCACGGATGCCGTAGCCCTTGGTCTCATCGTCTTCCTCCACGGTGAGCTTCCGATACCCCGAATCACTGTGTATGTCTACTTCGTTCGTCGGTTTCATCCGAGGGAAGGTGATGCGTTTCGGGCTGCTGATCAACTTTCGCATCACAGCATTCAGTCGTCTGACTTGTAAGTTGGTGGGCTCTTGGACCTTCTGGAGAGAGACCACATGCACCATAAGCCAGACTCTAGTGAGAAGGGAATAGGCGAGAGCTCCTCGCAGGCTAACGAACATGTCGGTGATGAGTTTGGTAGCTTTGGCGTCAACCGCCGCTCCCGTAAATTCAGGGTGTGTGATAGGACGTAGTTGTTTAATTTACTCGTCCTGATCCATGATCACATCCCCTCGTTCATTCTTGGCGCAGCGAACGTCGCAGTTCGTATGTGAATGGTTGTTGAGCTTGCATTTACCAAACACCTTTTCGACACGTTGTACATAGTCATCTACGTTTTTCTCTAGGCCTGTCATGTTGATATCGTCGACATGTTTTGCCGTTAACAGGTCTTGACTAAATTCAAACTCAGGATCGTAACTTGTCGGTGTGAGGCCTATAGCTCGTGTGGTCGTACGGAGCTTGAAGGAGAACGCTCTTGGGGCGTCCTTTGTACCCGTCCCTGGCTTGAGGCACCCGAGGCAGTGTCGGCTTTCATCGTAAGAAGAGAAGCCTGGTAGTGCACGAAGCACCTGGGCGCTTCCTGGTGAAAGAGCGAAGCAAACCATGCGAGTTTCCTCGCCGGTGGCATGAGCAAGCTCCTCATTGGTCAGACCTTCGAGGAACGCTTTGTCGATATCCACAGATGCTAAGATCCATTCTGGATGACATGCCGCCTCACTTGCCAGGGGCCTCTGGGACTGTCTTCGAGCAGTTCCTGAGAAGGTTTCTACATCAAACGCCTCCGTGTCCATGAATCCACGAAGGACAAGTCTGAGACGGATGGTTATCACATTCTCGGTGTCTACCTCCACAAACTTCCACTTGTATACATCTGGATGTCATGATGTTGGAAGCTTTAGATAGGTCATGCATCTCGAAGCCCCGGTTATCAAGCCAGATCTTGAGTTCGGTGTACAAAGCTTCACTAACCTCTGTAGGGTGTGCTGCTATATCGGCTTTGGTGAGTAGGTCGTCTTCCTTGACTACCACCGCGCGTTTAGCAGCTGATGATACATATACTCATATCGTTGCGACCATGTCAGTTTCAAGCTGTGCAAGTTGGGTCTGATCCAACACTACCATTGACATTTCTGGTGCGAAACATAACTCAACATAAGGACCATATTCATCACTGTCAAGAGAATAGCCCTCGTCAGGTGTAGTCGAGCATAGAGAGATAAGACAGGGCTCTTGTGGTTCAGGCTCGTCCCCGAGCGTTTCCGACACTATGATATCTTCCTCGTCCACGGATGCTGAGACCAGGACACATTGGTCGGGCAGCATAGTTGTTGGGACGCAGTAGAGATGATCGTCGGTAACCGTTGTGGGATGAAGGTCCATACGTAGTTCATCGCACCACTCTTGCATCATCATAGCCTCGATGTCATGTTCCTCGCTTTCTTCATAGATGGTAGATAGGCGACCTTCACTTGGTGATGAAGCACCTGGGGTGTCTGGTGGAGGCCTGTCTCCAGGCTGTCATGTTCTCCAGATGAAGCGCCCAAGTGCTGATACTTGGCAAGGTCGTCATGAAATCCTAAGGAAGGAACATGTGACGTCAGGCACTGGATGAGTCTGGAGTGAGTGCTACCAGTGATTTGAGAGATGTTCAGGCCGGTGCCCACACACTCATAATAGTGGAAGGCTGGGTTGACGTCGTTGCCGTAGTGGATCAGTGTAGACCCGGTGGCGCACTTAACTGCAGGTAGACTAGACACGCTCTTGGCCAGTCTCGCGGCTACTACACGTCCAACTCGGAAATAATTTCGCACGAGATACTGTAGTGCAAGATGCACGCGCGGGTGGAACTTGCTGTCGTCCGACAGATTGAGGTTCCCCTTGTAGTCTGGAATATAGCCAAAGACTTTGGCAGGTTTCCCTGCACCAAGGTGTGCCACATATGTAAGGACGGTTTGCATGGCCATGTTGTCCATGCCAAGATCCCTGGTAATGAGGCATTCAATGTATAGCGTGTGGCGAGCATCAGGGTACATTACAACTACCTCACGTGATCCTGCCTTGACGACGACGCGCCCTCGTTCAGGCAGGTTACGGATCACAGGAAACGGGCCATTCCAGCCTCCATGGTCGTCCTTAGTGGCTGTAGGTCGGTAATCGTCGACCAAGTCCCCTGCTGAGTAAAGGCGAGCACCATCTGGGGCCGTCTTAGCCCTGAGAGCA